TTAAGACCTCTTGTTCTCTCAAATACTCAGCTCCACCCCCTTGCTACACACTAACTGGTAGGTAGCTACACAGTCGTGAAAAGTTCAGTTCCTGACGACACTGCCTTTAAAGAAGCAGTAGAGACAAAGGAGTTCATGTGGATTTACCAGAGGCAGAGGATAGAGCGGGACCTTCCTGTCTCACGTCAGTTCCTTGATGGCATTGTGATTACTGGATGTGCTGTGTGCCGAGAACCTCACAGACAGAACTGGACTGGGGCCATTAAGAGGCCTGAAGTTCCCTATCTGTTGCTGATTCTGAAGCAGAGTGGGAAAGTTGCTGGTTGGGTCACTAGAGTTGCAGTCACCTAATAAACAGTGGGTGGGTGGGAGGGAGGGAGGAAGGAAGGAGTTCAAATGGCATATCAAAAATCAAGTCAGAGCAGGGGACCTGATGTGAGTCGTTAGTGGTGGGAGAGTGTTGCCAAAAAGCAAGGTCAGGTTAAACAATAAAGGAAATTCTCCACAGGGCACAGTGAGAGCAAACGGTTCCTCCCTGCACAGCATGGCAGCCAGGGAATGACAGGAAACTTCCTTCAGCCAATGACCTTTAAAGAGGCTGGACCAGGTTAGGGCGAGACCTTTTGGGTACCCAGTGAAAATCCGCCAGCCTGCCCTCTCGCTCTCTCTGCTCGCTCTCTCTGGTCCCTGTGTTACACACCTGAGATTGGACTTCTCGTTCTTGTTCCGTGAGTTTGCCCTTTATAATAAAAAATGTAAGTGATGAGGCTGGAGAAATGGCTCAGTGGTTAAGAGCATTGCCTACACTTCCAAAGGTCCTGAGTTCAATTCCCAGCAACCACATGGTGGCTCACCACCATCTGTAATGAGATCTGGTGCCTGCAGACATACACACAGACAGAATATTGTATACATAATAAATAAATAAATAAATAAATAAATACCCCCCCAAAAAAAGAAAAAAATGTAAGTGAAATCTTTTGGAGTTAGCTTGGGATTCTTTAACTCACATCCTCACCTCCCTTTCCAGTAACAGGGGAAGACATGGGCGAGGCTCTTGGGATGATTCTCAACTTCTAGCTTCATTTTTACCAAAATCCAGAAGCTGGTGCTACCTGGTCAGGAAGAAATCCACCACTCAGCATCAACACAAGACTACCTGCAGCCTGGGCCAGGGCAGTTCTCCAGGGGCCTCCCTACCTCTTAATCTTTAAGCCAGATCCTTGACTATCCCATGAAAAACTCCTGGTGGTCTCTAGACCGAAGCCAGGAGGCGGCATGTTGCCAGGTAGGCCAAACACACTTGGCTTTGTGTAAAGGTGAATGCATGAAGCAGGGTCCCAAGCAGGCCTTAAATGTTGAGTGCAGCGTGTACGTGTGTATGCACTGGAACTCCCCTGCCTGCCTTCAGGTTAACTCAGAGGGTGCAGAGGCTGCCATTGGTAATCCCATCTAGAGAGCAGTCTTTTTGTACACCAGCCAATCAGCAGAACAGAGCCCCATTCTGCTCAGGAATGCGCTCTCAGAAACTTAATCTAACTGCTGAGTCTGGGCCAAACCTCCCAGTGGCATTAACCCAAAGATAGCACCCCTTTCTCTGCCCCCCAGGAGCCTTCCTGCCAGGCTTGTGATGCCTCCTTCAAGCCTACCACCCACCCACTACCTTCTCTGCAGGATGCCTACCCCTCCCTGGGGCTTACCCCATCTCCCCAACTTCTCCTTCTTTCTAGTCAGGCCCAAACATTTCACTTTGGATCCACATCTGAATGACAAGCCAATGGCTCTTGGCTTTCAAAGGAGACCAGTCCCACTCCAGAACACGCCTTTCGATTCCAACCACACAGCCCTTCAAGCACCAAAGAAAGCAGGAGCCAGGGTTTATTTTGTTTTCTTGTATCAGATAAAGACTATAAATCGAACCTCCTCACATAGGTATACTCTGGATCAAATAGAGAGGTAGAAACCAGACCACCTTTTATCCAGCTCCCCCTTTTCCAAACAATAAGAGGTTCAGGCTGGCTCCTTGTGAGTTTGGACAGATAATTATACAGTGTATTGAGGTCTCCAGACACATGCTGATCATTTACAGATAGAATCTCTCTCCAAGAGGCCCCTGTAAGGCACAGATGTTGAAAGGCACGTGTAATGCTGAACAGCGGGGGAAGAGCGAATTGCCCAGCCACAGGAAATACTTTGGTCCATTATCAGAGAATTCTACTGCAGGAGGGATGAGCGAACTAGCTAAGGACACAATGGGATATATTAGAGCGTTGGTTACACGATACACACATGTGCAGAAGCTCGTCGGTTGTCCACTAGCAGCCATACTCTTTGCACTGTATTGAGCATATTTTATACTCATTGAAGAAGAAAAGGCAAATTATCATATGGCCAAAGGAAAGTGCTTATCATACAGTGCCAAAGGTGAGAGTTAAGAATAGGATATGTATTGTTTAGACATACTATAGCAACAACAAAAATATATGGGTGTGGATAAAAACCGGAAGAGTAGATGACGAAATAACACTTGTGGTTGTGTGAAGATGGCAGACTTGAGGGTCTCATTGCTTTTTACGTATTCCAGACTTTCTATAGGGTGATTCTAATTTTAAAATTAACAGAAGTCAAAAATGTCTGATGCCAAGAAGTGTGATTCTGGTCTCAGCCACTCTTATTGTGATGATGAGATGATTCCTAACCATCTCCACCTCTTCCTCTAAGCCTTCCGACCCCCCCTCTAGCCCCCCACCCCCGCCAGACACAGCCAGAGAACAGCCCCAGAGGACAGGGCCTAGCTGCACTTTGCCCAACGCTTAGCTTCCTCCCAGAGACCTGACACTCAGACTCCACGGCACTCTTTCTGCCTACAAGGAGAGTAGGGTGGGGACAGATATAGTTCAATGTCAACCTGGCCCCCCAGGGAGACACTCTTTGCCCATCCCCTGTAGGAAAGGGCAGAACTTCTCAATGTTTCCTCATAAACAATGGGCACCAGCAGTAGCAGCGCTGTTCTGCTCTCTCGCAGTGGCATCCTGTTAGGAGTCTGGGACCAGAGACAGGGGGAGTCTTTCTCCCCTGCCTCCGTGTCTCCCTACTCCTCGACACTCTACTCTCCTTCCACAGCTCACATCTCACGCACCCCAGCGACCTCACTTCTCTTCAAAAGGCCCATATTGCAGAAATTTTCTCCTCTGAACCTAGGATGCTGGACAGCTCACTTCCTAGAACCACAGTACCCATGAGGCCATTGGTGATGGTGACACAGAAGCTGAAAACAAGCTTGTCAGGGATGAGGGGACACTATTAAGTTATGAGTTCTAGAAATCTCAAAGTTTATATCCAAATGCCTAAAGTTTGGACAAGTTTCCCTGTTTCCTGCACTTCAAGTGGAAAAGGTCCTAGATGGAAGCAGCTCTTTGTTCCCTAGCTATAAGCCAAGCAAACAAGAACGAGTCCTGAGGTTGCTCTGCTGGCTTAGGAAAGCATTTGATTAGCAACTGTTACGAAAGGCTTGTGAATGAAGGGCTAAAAGTCAAAGAGCAAATGTCCTATGCATGGGACACTGGGCATCTAGCGGCAATCGCATATAAAGGCAGTGTGTCCCACTGTCCCCACCTACCACATGGGCTAATGTAATGAGTTGGGTAGGGAGCATAGAGTGTCAACTAGCGTTACCTGTCCTGGATGAGGCTTCTCAAGTCACTTGACCCTTACTTTGTTTTAGTAGATCCTCAAAATGCATTTCTCAAATTCATTCTAAAAATTATGTCTCACTCTCGCAAGCATGAAAGAAATGTGAGCAGTCCTAAAGACCATGTGGCAAGAAGTACTGAGCCCACCAGAATCTTTTTCTGTGTGTCTGTGGAGTGGGTGGGTGGGAGGTCAGAGGCCACTTAGCCCTTGGCTTCCATATTGGCCTGTGGACATGGGTTCTTTTAACGTAATCATCACAGAAACTAGAGATGGGATAACACTAATTCAACAGCACAAGCAGAATGCCAACAGACAATGATTTAAATCAACTGCCCTTACACTGAGAGCGGCAATATGAGATAGGCAAACCCCTTAACAGAAGGAAAGAGAGAAAGAGGAAAGGAAAGAGCGTGAGCTTTGAGTGGGTGGCACCTCTTCCCTATTTCTCTTCTCTTTATCTATTTATTAAGCAGTTTCCTTTGCATTTGCTCGGGAATTTGTATTTAGGGTCTGGTCAGGTGGCTCAGTGGGTAAATGCACCTACCATCCATCAGGTCTGATAACCTGTGTTCAATCCTCTAGGGTTGCTATGGCAGAAGGAGAGAACTGATTCCTATAGGTGATCTTCTAGCCTCCACCTGCATTCGGTGACCACACACACACACACACACACACACACACACGCGCGCGCGCGCGCACGTGTGCACACATGCACACACACAGATATGCCCACACACATGCATGCACACTCATATGTGCACACACACATGCGTGTGCACACACGCACACATACGCATGCATGTGCACACACGCACACACACAGACACGCATGCACACTCATATGTGCACACACACACACGCACGCACGCTCACTATAATAAGTTCAAAATGATCTGTATCCCAAGCACTAGGAATATGCTGAGGCCAGGTTTGGCATACACAGGCTTCCTCCATCAAGAGAACCATGACTGAAACCACTGTGACAAGAGGGAAAAAGCTTCCCAGAGAGCAGCTGTCACATCCTCCCCAAACAACCTGCCAAGTGGAGAAGTGGTGTCAATTCTGGGTCCCCAGAACAGTTTTCCCCCTGTAGACATTGCACATATCACCCTGCTCAGAGGGGAAATTCTCCAGGACACCACAGACCCCAAGACGGTTGAGCAGTGACCACTTGACTGAGAAGCTTGCCAGCAGTTGTGGTCCCTTTAATGCTATGATTAACGACAGAGCGTAGGACTATGAGAAAAGAAAGAGTGGGGGGAGGAGGTGAGGTCATACCGCGCAGCATGGCAAAGAAGTAGACTCACTGGCTAGTGTCACCGTGGCTGGCACACTGGCCACAGCTCCTGCGGGAATCCGAGCCACACACTGGTACCGTCCCACAGTATGGTTGTTGAGGGCAGCAATGACGAGGGTCCCACGGGTGACGAGGACACCCAGGGCATCATCCGAGCCGTTGAGCTCCTTCCCGTTGAAACGCCAAGTTATATTCACCCACGGTGGCTCTACCACACAGCCCAGGATCACAGTTCCTCCAAGCTTCTGGACAGTTGACGTGGGCTGGACAGTGACCTGGGGAACCTCACCTGGAGAAAGAGCATCGATGCAGTCATGAGCAGAGTTCCCCAAGAAACTGCTGCCGCCACTACCTTGTGAGGCATCACCTAGATTCGACAACCAGACAAGCTCCCAGCTCTCCTTGCCCATTCCCCATTCTTCCTGTTTCCAGAAAGTCCCCTTGCTATGTGACAATGCAGTACAAAGGCAAAAGCTCAGGCTCTAAAGTTGCACAGACTTTGGCCGAATCCAGTGCCACGACCTCTGAGCCATGTAATTGTGGCCTTTCTGTAAACCATGGCTACCAATGCTTGACTGGCGGCATTGTCGTAAGGCTCCCAGAGTATGCAAGTGACCTACTCTGGGCTCTTACAATAAATGCACGCTCCAGGCAGCTATTATTGTTCCTTTTCTTCTACTAGTAGTATATCTTCGAAATTACTAAAATAGAAAACTGTACCTGATATGACATTGTCCTGATCGCTTTCTATCTTGTGCCCTTGAGTGTGCCACAGCCAGGAGGTCAGCAGAGATGTAGCACTCTAAGGACACTAAGCTACTTCAGGTTCCCATCTGACATCAAGGAAAAGCACTCCCAGGAGGGGCAGGCTGAGGACGGAAGGAAAACACTCACCCAAGTCAGCAAGGCAGCCTGCTGCAGCCAAGAGGAGCCCAATCAGTGCAACCGCAGGCTGCTCCCCTCGGCACACTGTCATTTTCCCTCGCGGTATGGTGTGTCACAGGGGGCTCCAAGCCGAAGTCCCATAAGCTGTGGATGACCCTGGTAGAGCTACCGCACTCCTCTGCAACCCTGTAGTGAGAGAAATTGGGAGAACGGTCAGGGTGAGACTATCTGGGGCTTGGATCATCCCTCAACTCCACTTTATCACCCTTGCAGGCAGTGTTCAAAGTGGCTGTGCTACCAGAGGACCGGTGGTGCGGGAGAATTAGCTGTAGTCTGTCAATCATGTATTTTAATAAAACACTGATTGGCCAGGCAGGAAGTATAGGTGGGTCAAGCAGACAGGAAGTGGAGGCGGGGCGATGAGAACAGGAATATTCTGGGAAACAGGAAGCTCCCTCCGCCATTCCTGCCCAGATCACCGAAGAAGCAACATGTGAGCTGACAGCTGAAAAAGGTACCAAGCCATATGGCTAATGTAGATAAGGATAATGGGGTAATATATGTTACAAGAGCTAATAAGTAGCCAGAGCTAAAGGCCAATCAGTTTATAACCTAATGTAGACTCTGTGATTTTGCTTGGGACTTGCTGGCTGTGGCGTACCAGGCCGGACAGGTACCCCAACAAGCCAGCCCTCATGTTACAGACCGGAGGGGCTCTTCATGACACTTCTTATCCCATGGATGTGTCTTATTAGGATTCTCCTGAGTCTGGAAGTAATTTCATCATGGAAACAGTGCTAGAGTCTTTACTGGGACTGACAGGGAGGACAGGGGAGCCCCAAGTATGGGGGTCTGGGAACTATGGAAGAGCCAGGTAGTGAGTATCTCTCTGTGTGGGTGAGTGCAGATACTGGAACAGACAAAAACATCCTCCTCATTAGCTATCAGAAGCTATGTATCCATGGCTACGTGTCATGCCATGTTGGAGTGCAGAACCCAGATGGACAAAGCTAAGTTCCTCTTTGGGGAATGTTCCTCATTAACACATTCACAATCTCAGTGACCCCTGAAAGCTTTAATTTTCCCCTACGCCAATGCATCACCTATGGCCTTAGGGACTCTCTTATTCCCAAAATAAACCTGCCTCCTAAGCTTGTCAATGTCCTCTATTGCCCCAAACACAAAACAGACAACGGTCTCACGTCAGCCAGGACTCTGATCCTCCCCTGTGCACAGAGCCTTGTTTCACTTTTGCTTTCCCACTTCCACTCTCTCTGCCCTCAGTGCTAGAATCCTGGGGCTTCCACCTTCATAACTCACAGGGCTGCATCTCTGTCTGAGACAACATTCCCCTCGAGATCCTGCCGGCACGGCCTCTCCAGCTGCCTGACACGCTATCGGTTGTCCTTCAACACCTGCCTAGAGCCTTCAGCGATCCTCTTCCACAGTTATTATCACCAGAGCTATGGTTCTCTAAAAGACGCTTCAAAAATCACAAAGGCAGCTGCATACCCTGATGCACTCTGCTGTTACTGCCAAAAACGTGGCGCTGTGTCTAAGCTTTCCACTGACGTATCTCTAGCATTACCAAATAAGGAATTCTGATCGATCAACCTTTACTCTACAAAGGCATCACAATGAGTGCCAGGAACAAAGAGGCAATGTCCCAATGACCAGACAGTGGTGGAACACTGCCCCCGCATCATGTGCATTTTGTTATATTTTTATATGAAGTAGAGTTGGAGTATGTATTTACTTATTATTTGTGTAAGGGCTTTGGGGCATATGCACACATGCATGTGGAGGTCAGGTCAACATCAAATGTGCTCGATTGCTCTCTAGCTTATTTTTTTCAGACAAGGTCTCTCATTAAACATAGAGCTCGAGCTGGCATTGTGACACACACTTTTAATTTCAGCACTTGGGAGGCAGAGGCAGGTGAATTTCTGAGTTCAAGGCCAGTCTGATCTACAGAGGGAGTTCTAGGACAGACAGCCAAGGCTACACAGAGAAAGCCTCTCTCGAAAACAAACAAACAAAAAATCCCAAACTAAACCAACAACAGAACCCTAGTGCTGTGGAATACTAGTTTAAGATGTGTTACACTCGTTTATGCTGTGGAATATTTGTTTAATGATGCAAGGATGTGTTGCATTCTTTTATGTTGCATTTGTTTCACTCTGTAAGGTTGTGATAGTTTGCCTGTCTAAAACACCCGATTGGTCTAATAAAGAGCTGAATGACCAATAGCTAGGTGGGAGAGGAGAGGTGGGGCTGCCAGGCAGAAAGAATAAATAGGAGGAGAAATCTAGAGAAGAGCAAGGAGGGAGGACACCAGGGGCCAGCATGCAACCACACAGCCAGCCACAGAGTTAAAAGGAAAGAAAGATATGTGGAATAAAGGGAGGTAAAAAGCCCAGAGGCAAAACGCGGAGAGAAACGGGACAATTTAAGTTAGAAAGCTGCCTAGAAACAAACCAAGCTAAGGCTGGGCATTCTTAAATAAGACTAAGTCTCCATGTATTTATTTGGGAGTTGGGTGGTGGGCCCGTAAAGAGTAAAAATAAAGCAAAACAAAACAAAACCCAGCTACACCCTAGGGCCCGCCAATAGGGTAAACCAGCTGACAACAAGCCCCAGGAATGTCCCTGTCTCCACCTGCCCCGCACTGGGGTTGTAGATGGTACACAGTGCGGTGTCAGTTTTGTGTGTGGCCTCTGGGGATCCAAATTCAAGTCTTCATGCTTGAGTAGCAGCAAGCATTTTACCGACTGGGCACCCCCTTCCCAGCCCCATTGTGGTTCAGGAGAAGGGTTTAATATAGATTTAAGCATAACATCAGGATATTGCAAGAGATTGGTGCGTGGGGAAAAATGTTATACACTCAAGACGTGAGTGTGGGCCTCTCAAGAGAGAAGAGTGTCCAAGCATATTACCAACAGCGCTTTATACAATTTTTGTGGCTTCTGATAAAACACTATTCAAAGAGTTCTTTCCTTCCATTCTTCCCTCCCTCCTTCCTTCCACTTTCCTTCCTTCGTGTGTGTGTGTGTGTGTGTGTGTGTGTGTGTGTGTGTGTGTGTGCTTACCAAGGCAAGATCTCTTGCTGATCCAGAGTTGGTCACGTTGGTAATTCTAGTAACCTAATTAGCCACTTTGCTCTGGGGATCCCATCTCTACCTCGTGAACACTGGCATTCCAGAAAGGCTACCCCTCCCACCTGCCTTTATTGTGTGGATGCTGGGGTCTGCACTCTGGCCATCTCCCCAGCCAAGATCATATTTTGACTGTAAACAGAGGTCACAGTCTTCTGTTTGAGATTCTCAGAACGTTCCAGGTTTACAGCCGTGAAAGGGATACGGTTAACCTCAAAAGTCATATAAGCTTAGACCTTAAGCACAGTTCGTTTTCAACATTCTTCTGCAAGAGATCTTTGCTGAAAAGGCTGAGCTGAGAATTTTGACACAACCAAAGAAAAATTTTTAACGGTAAAGGTCAGTATGGCAATATAATAGTTATATTTCTGAGAGAGTGGCCTATGATCAAAATGTAATTCTTCTAGAACAATGGATCTAACGAGTGACTCTCAAATCTTGGTCACATTAGAAACATGGAGGGAAGGGCTATTCTTCCTGATGGAGGGCTTCTCTGAGCTTCCCCATCTGTGCTTTCTGGCTGCCCACAGGTCTGCCTTAGGTGGGCATTTCAGGCCTTCCAGCTCAACCCTTGCCTCTTGCCATGTGCTTGGCACTTGCCTAGAGCCCTTGCTTTTCTGAGGCTTTGGCTCTGGGCTTGGTCCACCCTGGCTGCTGTGAGGGTGCAGAGGACCACATAGGCTCCACCCAGTGAGTAACCTCAGCACAAGCCTTTGGTCCCAACCCACAATGAGGGAGGCTCATGGCGTGTTCCAAGATGGAATTCTTGCCCCTTGATGTTCACGCCCACCCTTTGCCAGGATCCTACAAGTCCTCTCAACTGTCCTAGGGAGCAGACAGGATGTTTTCTGTTTGACAGAAAATTCTTAAGGAAGGCTTGAAAAGACCCCTTCTGACAGTCTCAATCATTTCCTGCTGTAGAGATGCTTTCTGCTCCCGTTTTAATAATCTACTAAATCAAAGGTCTGTTGCTTGTGAGGTGAAACTCATGGAGCGTGAGATGCTCACGCATAGCTTGTGAGTGCTGCCGGAGACAGCGGATGGGTGAGAGCCCTGCCTGCTCCTGGTCCAGAGACCAGGCAAGCTCCGTGCAAGATGAGTCCTCTCATAGGCACACCAGCCCCGTGACGTGGGGACCATTATCTCCACCTTACAAGTGGAGAAACAGTACCAGAAATGTAACTGCTCATGGTTGTGAAATTGTACACCTTGGATGAAAGCCATGTGCGCTGCCCCCAGAGTCCCATGCTTTCTGCCACTATGGCGTCTTTCCCACCTTTCCTATAAGGGCTGTGTACCCACTGATTTTTTTTTTTTACAGAGTTGGAATAAGAGTATGGCCAGACAGTGGTGGCTAGAGGAAACACCTTGCCAAAAAGTATAACTTTCTGTGTCCTTTGATTTTCCAGATTATTGTTTTTCAATTCTCAATCGACCTTTTCCCAATGAGACGATGGATTAAAATAGAACCTTGCATGGGTTCCTAGTTACAGGATTTCTTTCCTAAGGAGACTCGCTCATTCATCCCATGCCCCAGTTTCCCCAGCCCCTTATGGAGATTGGCAGCAAAAGGGCAAAGGGAAAGGGCACAGGAACTGAAGCAATAAACAGCATGGTAGGAACAGCAGACAAAGTAGGCCAAGGGCTGTTTCTCATCTAGGCACCGAATGCATGGAGGTGCTTGGGTCATAAAATGGACAAAGGTTTTACTGAGGAAACTCAGCCCAAACCCCCTACTGCTTTAGGAGGGCAGGCCAAGCAGTTCCCATCACTTCTGCACCTTTGGTAATTTATACAGTTCAAAATGGAAACAGCCCTCGCTCCTGCTGCCAGCCACTGTCCTGCTAAGAATAAAAGGAGAAGAGACTGTGGTAGGGGAGTGAGGGAAGAGAGAGGTAGCATGAATTAGCTGACCCCAGGGAGGAATTCTGGGGTCTCATTTTGTCAATGGAGCATTGTGATGGGGTGTGTTGGGGATACACAGGAACAAAAAGACTGTGTGGCACTCGAGTGTTTTTCTGGCTGGCTAGG